TAGCAAGGCAAGGTCCCAACGAAAATCACACAGAGTTCTCCATAAGTTATAAAGCTGATTGGTCCATTAGGTCAGGCTACTTATTAGCTCTTGTAGCTTATATTAACCCATTGTTCTGATCTATGTTAGCTATGTGGCTCAGTACCTTTTTCAGTGGGGCAGATCACATCTTGCTGCTTCAGTGATCTTGGCAGGAGTGGGAGGAATCAACTTCCTCCTTCCCAGAATTCTCCTGTTCTCCTTGCATCATTTCCACTTCCTGTCTGGTTTTCCTGTCTATACCTCCTGCCTGGCCAATAAGCATTTATTTAAAACATGGTTGACAGAATACAGACAATTCTCCCACACCACTTCCCCCTCTTTTTTTTAAAAAAAGGAAAATATCCATAGTCCATTTTTTGGGAATGTGGGCATAGTATCCCAGGCTACTTCTAGCTGATTGGGGGCACTGATAATCTTATGGGAACCTAAAGAAAATTTAGAGTTATGATCAAGTCCTGACTGAAGTATCCTGTAAGTCTTGATCATCTCAGGCAGCAGTTTTGAACCTGTTCTGGATGAATAACTCAGACATCTGGGTGACTTTATAACTTATAGAGATCTCTGTGTGATTTTCTTTGGGGCTAAACAGCTGTGGGAACCAGACAAGACAGAAACCCCAACAAGCAGGCTCCCTCATATTACAAGGAACTGTGCTGCAGGCTCCTTATCCACCTAAATGGAAATGTATACTCACATTTGGTGATTAAGGCAAACATTCACTCTCCAAGCCATTTCCTACTCGCCATCCATTATTAATATCATGCCATGTAATTTAGGGGGCAGGGATCAAAGGCTTAAAATTTGGCAGAACATGAAAAGACACTTGCTTGAATTCTTCCTGAATATGGAATCATTGTCTGTGGATTGGTCCCTCACCATGGTTTCCAGGCAACCATTTAAGATTGAAAACCTGTTCTACAAATAATACTTCGGCACACTGAGTAATTAAATAAGCACTAATTCAAGGCAGATGCCCAGATCTTCCCATGAAATGACCCCACTCTCCATTACAGAGAAACTCCAAGCCCTGGCCCTTGGAACACTAAAGGCATCCACTTAAATCTCTCTTTTCTTCTTCTGTTGGGTACTTAACATTTAAGAGTCTACAGGTCTTGACTGAATTTGTCTGTCTCCATCAGTTTCCTCATGGCATTTGTAAGTCTTGTATAATTGTATGGGGCATGGGCTGGATGGTAGAAGGAACTGCATGTTTTCAAAATGGCTTGGCAAATCATTGAAATGGAAGATTTGGATAACAAAATTTAAAAAACAATAATGATATTTGTGTCCTGTTTTAATGTAAGGGGATAGATCCAACCAACAGAAAGAACAAAAGCCCCACACTCAACCAACCTAACATAAGAATCCTCTCTCTGCCATGCAGGGAAGCCACATCCAAGTGACCATCAGGCTAAACCTTGTTTCTGATCTTATATTCCTAGAAAAGTGAATTTTGCTAGCAGTATTGTGTATTTCCAAGTAGCTATAGACAAGAGTCTTGACTTCTTGCTACAGTGACTAAAGTTTGAGTTGATGGGCATACTAAGTATCATGTATTTGTGTGTGTGTGTGTGTGCGTGTGTTCCTGTGTGTACAGGTACACTTTTGTTTGTGCATGTAAAGGCCAGAAGACAACCTAGAGAGTCGTTCCTCTGGCACTGTTCTTGAGTGTGTGTTGCTTTTAATTTGGGGTATGTTTTTCTCTAAATATAGGCTCTCACTGGCCTGGGACTCACCAAGTAGGCTGGGCTGACTGACTATGGAGCTCAGATAGTGTCCTTTCTCTGCTTCCATTTAGATTACTAGTGTGTGCCCCCACATCCATTTCTTTTAGGTTGGTTCTGAGGATCAAACACAGGTCCTTATGCCTGCAAGGAAGTAATATACTAAGTTGGCCATCTCCCCAGCCCAGAACACCATGATTGGACTATTTATCACACATCCTATACAAGTGTGAAAAATACACTATGTACTGGATATGAGTAAGATTATTATATATCAACTAAAATGAAATAAAACTTGTAAAGTAATATATGGGCCAAAAAGCTAAAGCAAAATGAAATGTTTACCTTGTAGCCTTGTAATGGCTGATAGAATCTGTTAAGTGTCTCTGTCCGAGTGGAGGATTACCAGGTGGTAGTTCTTGCTATCATGTATTAAACTCCCCATTGCAACGCTCCCTTGTGGTTGGTGAGATTCTTGCCTCAAAGTAGAAAAGTTGATGGGAAGTGCTTTAGATACTGAACCAATTTCACTCTTCTGGTTGCCTCTGGTGTCCCTGCCTCCCTTTGTCCTCACTCCTCCCTGAACACACTCATGCTTACAGGGAACCTACAATGATCACCTAGTATAACTGCAGTATTTTATGAAGTCCAGGGGGGTATTAAGAACATAAATACCTGGGAATAAGTATGGCTAGAATCTTCTGGAAGGGGAGGGTCACTAAACTGTAGACCTGTTTCTTGGGTTTTATGCCTCTAGCCATTCTGGAATCTTCAGTCAATGACTTGGTGCACTCCTTCAAATATCTTAGGTGTCTACAAGGGACAAAATTCAAACATGACAATATTCTTAACAAGCTTAATATGTTCTTAAATTTTATGCTTTTTTAAAGAGATTTTATGCTTTTTTCCTCCCAAATGACTGTAACTTCTGGCTGAAACTCAATCTGTATCCCTTTTAGAAAAAGTGCAAGGAATATTTATTAAGAAAACAGAGGTCTTTGAACCTTTGATAAAGAAAAATACGACACTTTACCTGAGCAAATTTCAAATGGATCCATTTAAAATGAATTAAGTGGCACTTAACTGGTTTGCAAATTGAGATCTATTTATCTCAGTAAAATGATTAAAGTCTTGATTTATCCCTAAAATTAGCTTTATTATTGCATTTAATTACACTGAAAGATTGTTAAGGACTTGTAGGTTCCCTCTATCCCTTTAAACTGTACTTTATTCAGACAATAATTGAATATCAGATAGGATAAATTGATTTTTTCCAAAGAATTATGTTTCTAATATTTTCCTCCTTTTTATTGCAGGAGCTCAAACAAGTCGAAGAAACAAAAGAAGATCCTGAGAATAGATTATCTGAAATTTCCCTGGAGTCGTTCAATAAATTTAACAGCAATACTGTGATTTTATTAGAACCAGAGAAGTCTCCAAGCAAGGTTAAAGGACAAAAGGAAGAGAAAGGCCAAAAGATAGATGCGTCATCGAGTAACTCTGCGAGGCCTGGCATGGACAATGTGGAGTCTCTGAGTGACTCTCTGTATGACAGCTTCTCTTCTGGTGCAAGTCAGGCTTCCCATGATGCCTAGGGGAGCACCGGTCAGTGAGCCCTGGGCTTGGTGCACTAGGAAATCAGCCACGGAGCGGAATGTGGGGAGCATTAACTCCAGAGGAGATGACAGCAGCCAACACAACAGCGTTTGCTCCCCTAGTGGACTGATAGAGAATCGCCGCTACTTACTGTGTTTCCTGAGGATTAAAAGCAAAAGATGATAGAAAATTCTCAACGTTTGCACTTTTTTTTTGAGTATTTGTATAAAAGCTGTACATTTGGGGGAAAGAGATATTATATTTGTAGGTGGAGAAAGATAGCAATAAAAAGGTGTTGGCGCCATGCTCTTGAAATGATGTATTAAGTTTTAGAAGTTGATAATATATTTTTTTAAAAAAAAAAACTCCAACTAAGGATTTTGTGAAGTTAATCACCCCAGTCTTCAAATTATTTGCTTGTACACTGTGCCGAGCTAAACGTGGGGCCTGCAGAAAAGCCAGAGGATTGAGGTCTTCACTGCCCCTGAAAGTCTCGTTTTGATTGAAAATCTGAATGGTGGTGCATTTTCCAAATCGTAACTGGGAAGACTGAAGTAGCTATGCCACGGACGGCATTTGCAGGGCTTCTGTGAATGCAGAACGCAGTGAATCTCAGCAGGCCTCACCCCAGCCTCACCCCAGCCTCCCCAGCCTCTTCAGCCTCTCCACTGTAGTTCTCTACAACTCTGCGTGTTTGTTGATGATTTTTATCTCCCTGCTTTTCTTTTTTTATTAAAATCTGGGTACTCTATTTGTCATATTCACTTTATAAAAAAAATGAATGGTTGGTGCTATGAACATTTCTTACTTTTTAATATCCTTTTCTATTAAAGACTGTTCATATGTAAGGATAAATTCTATTTTAAAGGTTATGTGTATTTTTTCTAGACGTGAACTATTTATAATTCCTTCTGTACAGAAGCCTGCAGCCCAGGCAGAGTAGAGCTATGTTTAGGATTTGTGCGGTTGCCTTAGCACACTTGTATCTTTATAGAGTATTGTATGACCAGTGTTATTTTATGTGTGCAATTTGTTGTATTTGAATTTCGTTATCTTAAATTCAAATTGTGTAAAGCATCTTTGTCTTTCAGACCTTAAAAATCCTTTTGTTTCATTTTATTTCTGAATAAAAGTCCTATCCCACCCTCTAAGAGCAGAAAAGAACTTTATTCAAGGAGCGATTGGTTCAATGATTATCTTAATCGCGTCCCGAGCTTGCTCTCTGGATAAGTTCCCTGAAGGAATAAATAAACCGGCCCTTTTGCTCCAGTAATAGTAATTGTTAAGATCCATACTGAAGACAAGCAAGTAATGGTCACAGCGTCTCTGTCTCCCCAAGGAGTTAACCAGCTAGAAATGTAAGGAAGGAGATGGGGGTGGGGAAATGAGCCCGAGGCAGCTATGGACCCGATCTCTGCAGAGAAATTACAAGAAAGTCATTTATGCCCCTTCCAGACCTTCTCTGCTAGCAGGGTAGGGAAATAAATGACCAGAACCCAGCCTGAGAGCACTTCCCCTTGGGAGGTACCACAGAAAAGAGGTGCCGCTTAGCCACCGGTTTCCACTGAGGCTCCCAAATCGGGGAAGGGGGAGGGGTGGAAACGCGCGGGGTTGGGGGCGGGGGCACCAAGAGCTTCGGTCGCCAGCTCTTTGCAGAGCACAGCCTTCTGCAAAGCTCCGCCAGGAAGGAAAAATAGCACCGTGGTGTCCCGGGAATATGCAAGGTGGGTCGCTTCGAGTTGTCAGAAAGGAGCGTGGCGTAGGAGGGAGGCAGCGGTGACCAAGTCCTAGGCATGCAGAGCCCTATAAGGAGTGTATAATATAGCTGGTGGCTTCGGTGAGTAAAAGAACAACGCTCAGATCCCTGTGTTCACTCCCCAGTATAGGGTTGTTTGTTTTTTTTTTTTTCCTGGGATAGGCGACCAGGGCTGTATCAGTGCATCCTCCAGCGGTGAGAGAATAGTCTGGCCAAGCGAGCCACCTGCGGCGGGGTCACCATTGTAACTCCGAGGCTTTCTGCCAGAAGACCGGGGTGACCTGAGATGTGGGTTTTTCCCAGGAAGAGGCGCAGCTGCACCGGACACCCCAGGGAACTAGCGACCTTGCAACTTTTCCAGGTGCACGGAAATGCCCCTTCATCCTATCCCAGTCATCCAGTGTGTGTGTGTGTGTGTGTGTGTGTGTGTGTGTGTGTGTGTGTGTG